AAGAGAATATAAACACTGAAGCAAGAATACCTTATTCCTAAGGCAAAACTCACATGAGTAGTTAAAATCAAGCAATCCATGGGCTTCCCTAATGGACTTTCCACCAAAGCTCTTTAATGAGAGTAAGTTAACAGATTCACAGACCTTTTGGTCATAGTTAACGGTTCCCTCCTATAAATGACAGAACATTCAAAATTCACCCATTTTGCTTTCTATCAAGGTAATGTTTGCATTTCATTAGAGCATAGCTTACAGAAAGTCAACCAGACAAGACATCACTCTCCATGTAAGTTACTGCAATAGTTAATCACTCTCAGGGATAAAAGTCTGTATCAAAATTTGTCATTTGAGTTAGAGTGGCTTCTAATTCTGGTAACTATTTTCATATTAGTGCTCTGGCCATACTTCAGCAATACCATCAAACTGTCTCTCCCCCTTCACGCTAACCACTTTTTTATGTCTTGTCCCCATCCAAAATAAGCAATGGCTTGGGTTCATGGAGATCACAAGCAACTGAAACCAATTATTTCCAATGCTCTGCTAAAGATACCCCTGATAGCATGAGTTATTAAAAACAAAAAACCAAGATCATGAACATATTCGCTAGCAAAGAAAATTAAATGCCCGTCGTTTCTGCACAAAAGGAAATCTTAGGTATTGCTTATCTATCTTTGTCTTTAGGACAATACTGTCCTTTGAGGAGAACTGCATATTACAAATAAGAAGAATAAGACTGCTACCAAAAACATCCTCTTTCAAAGATGTTCAGTGGTAACCATAATGTATAACAACACAGGGTGATTTTTTATATCCAGAGGAAGCTAAAATTGGAAATAAAAATATTTAATTGACTCAACTGGCAAAAGTTCCATTTAATTCCATTGGAATTTTGCTATCAGATCTGTAAACATGTGGCTTTTGATAACACATGTTTAACTAACTCTTTCATATGAAGCCAGAAAGCAAATGTGGATGAAACTGTACTTGAGAATAGTGACTTTCCCAGTGACAGCTTAGGTTTTTATTATAGTTTAATCATAGTGGGATAGAGTGAGTAGCCATAAGTTTTGTGCATCACTTCAGGACACATCATAAGAGCAGAAGTCTACCCAACAGTAGAACAACTGCATTTTCAAGCATCTGAAAGCTAGCAGTGCCTCAGCATAATTTTTCCTACAGCTTTTACATTTTCCTCAAAGTTGAGAAAACTACCCATGTATTATAAAAATAACTGGGAAAAAAAGAAAAACCCACACTAATCTTTGCTTTTTTATATTATTTTGCAGAAGTCCAACTACTTCCTGAGCACTCAGAAGCCAGACACTAGTTACTTAAGTCCCAGTTCATAAACAGAAAATCAAAACAAAAGATGTTCAAACTAGCTGAAATAAAAATAGAAACCAGTGCTGTGCACTAGTTAAAATAAAGAGAGAGATGAGTGCTGTGAAAATTCAGTGCTTGGGTTTGTTTTTTTCCAAACTGCTGTATTTATGCAAATACGTAAGAGCAAAATTCTACTAATTTGTCTGGGATTATGTACTATAGTGGACTGATAACACAATGTGGCCTCCTTAATCTTTTAATCACCGCTCCAATTCAAATGGCCTGTTGGAGCACCAATAAAATGTTAATATTGCTAACAAATATTGAGATTTCCAGAGATGTTTCTTTTCACATCATTAGAAAAATACAACAGATAAGACCCCACAGTGTACGGCTAAAACAATAATCAACTGGGGAAACTAAATAACGAATGTCTTAGTGTGATTCTAATCCATTCCCTTACATCTACACTGGAAAAAATAGATCTCAGCTGGCAACAGACACTGAGAACTGAATTTGTCAAAAGAATGACTTATCCTTTCTCACTGAGGTGGTCTTTCGTGGAAGAACGAGCTCAGTGTGTTACTAGTGGGAAAATATATCCAGGAATGGGATACCCTGGACCCAGAAGTTCAAGTGGAGGTTTCTAACAAAACTCCAAGACATTCTCTCAGTCCAAGCCTCCTTCCAAAACATCTGATTAATGCTTGGCAGAGTGACAAGGTAAACAAGGGAAAAGAAGTTACTGGCCAGGCAAGTTAGCAGGGAAGTTCACTGATGTCAAGATCCCTCACTGCTGACATTTTCCAGTAAAGCTCTCTTTGGTGCATGGTTTCTAACCAGTTCCACATGCTGCTTTCAGAAGCTCCCCCTTCTCACAGGCTGGCATTGAATGGCTGGTGGGCAAAAGAGAGATGATGAGGAGGAAATGTCTAGCCTCCTCCCACCTTTTCTCTTCCCACTCAGCTCAGAGCCAGTAACAGGTTCTTGCAGCAATCCCAATAGTTTGAACTCTGACAGGAAAAAAGCAACACCGTACTAAATTAAAAAAAAGGATCTTTTTTTCCTTCTAATGGCTATTGCTTTTTAGTATGCTCTATGGACATTGCTGTCACTGTTGCAGTGTATTTTCTGTACTTAAAGGTGGAGGCTAGCTTTTCAGCGTTGCTAATCTGGCACTGGGTTTGAACATTAAATTGACTTCATATACAACCAAAATGCTGATTACATCAGCAAAAAGAAATACATTGTTCATAAAGACTTCCAAGTGGCTGGCTGGAGATCTTCAAGACAGGACTATATACATTGTGACTTGCTGAACAAGTTAAATACAAACAATGCTTCAGAACACAGCAAGGGATGGGCTCTGAGTCCATTTACCCTCCTCTCTGTATTCACTGGAAACTAAAAACCCTTCCATCCAGAAGCAGAGGAATTTTAGCCTGTTACTTCGCTGTATGATGTGTAGTTAGGAATCAAGTGAGAATTGGGAACGCACAAGAAACTTCCAATCAATCTCCACAGGCATGAAGCTGGTAAAAATAGTTTGTAATTTTCACTACTGCCTTTTGTGATTAGCTTAGAGCAATTCCTTAGAAATGGATTCTGAAACATCCCAAGGGTCTGTACAACTCAAAAGGTATCTTTCTGTTAAATAACTGCAAAATAAATAATCTGCTACTACATCAGGCACACTATCCATCTAAAATTTCAGTTGCTTCTGAAGAAATTAAATGCTCAAGGACTAGTAAATTATTCCACATTTTTTCCTAAGTTCTGAATGAGCTCCTTTCTCTTCCTTCCAGGTTCTGTGCAAGGCTCCAGTTACATGAAAGTCCTAAAACCCATTTTCACTCAAATAAAGCCAATTATTTTGTCTTTAGGTTTACACATAGATTCTTCTTTCTTAAAACAATCTCATTTTAAGCTATAAATACTGTAAAACACTCTGAACATTTGGCATCACATTTTATGAAATTCTGCAGAGAGCCCTGGCTGACTGATTATAGTTCTTGAAGTATGCTTGATAAGTGCTTGCTCTCTACCAAGGATGAAATTCCCCACAAGCACTACCTGCCAAAATCAGTCCCTTCTAACATCAGTTATCTGTAGAGACAGGAAAAAGAGTAATATTGTTTTTTAATGTGCTTTTGCCCTTTCTGTACTCACTCTATTACCAATGCTGTTTCCAGATATTAATATTATCAGCAGTGGGTTAACCTGCATCATGATTCGTTTAAATGACTATATCTAATAACTCTGTGATTTTATAGTACAACATGCGGGTCTGGGCCTCAGCACAGCAGATATAATGGAACATACATGCTAAATGCTGGACAGGTTTCCATTTTTGTAGCCTGGCATTTTGGTTCCTCCACTCCTGAAGCCCCAGCAAAATATTCTGTGTACTTATACAGTTCCTGTCTGAGAAGCCATTTAAAATACACTAGTATTTTAAGTAACTACCCTGAAATCTGCATTCAGTCTCTCTGGGTCACCACTTTTAAAGTCAGTTCCTCACTTGCTGTATCTTCCAATTTTCTTTCCTACTGGCCTCCCACCCCTTCATTCCTCCTTTTTTCTGGCCAGTGTCTGGTCTTTGCTCAGCTGGAGCAGGCAACAGAATGACTGAGAGGCTAGTACCCTAAACTTTGCCTGTTTTTTCAAGAAAGTAATTAGAATTTCAGCCTTGAGGGGAAGAGAGGACCCACAGACTCACAGGTTCACTCAAAGACTTTCTTTTCAGAATAATGCTTTATCTCTGGTCATCATGGCTACTGTGAACTGGAATTATTAAGCTCCTGAACTGAACAGCCTTCATAGCAATTAATTTTTAAAATCCCATTTTAGATTTTGTAACAGCAACACCAATTCATTGCTCTTGAATATCACATTTGTCTCTTAGGTTTTTGGTCACTTCCTCATGTGATGGTCCTCAAAGCACTTTCACAATCATAGATCTACTCAGTACTAATTCTGTTACTGTTACTCCGGTACACCAGAGATTGCAAGGGTTGCACAGAGAGAGAGAGTAAATCAAAGCATGGAGCTTGTTTCTTTAATCGACATGCTGGAGGAGGAAAGGAGAAAGGGATCTAGCATACACATAAGAATACAGAAGAGAATTACTGTAAATGAACAGTTAATTGTATTACCTCTCTCTGACCTCACCATTTCCTCTCCTTGGCCCTCTCAACACCTCATAAACTAGGATTTTTTTTCCTCTTCTTATCAACCTTGCTCCTTTCAGACTACCACAGCTTAGAAATCTTGAGACTGACACATTTCAATTTTAGCAGAAAATCTGTCTTTCCCCGAGTATATCAGTTTTGCAGCTGCCTTTTCCAAAAGCTCCTTTGCTTATACATTTACAGCTCCAGCTTACTTCAGTCCTACTAAGATGAAAGCATGATGTGATGTGATGTGCCCAATTAGATGCCACCAATTTTAGCAGTTTAGGCATTTAACCTCTGTCTGATCCTGCCAAATCACACCTGGCAAAGCCTGCATTACCTTCATGACTGAGAGTCTCCAGAGCTTTCATTATGGTCTGTGTTGAGCTCACCAGTCAACTAGCGAGAAAACTGTTGTTCTCACATTTAGATAGGAGACAAAAGCCATCAGCATGTATCAGGAAAAGGAGGTATATTTTTTTGTATGCAAAGTACGAAGCCTACCTCTTTCTCCTGGTCTTCCAGGTTGACCAGGGCTTCCTGGAAACCCTTGCATGCCTGGTGATCCTTGTTCACCCTGTGGCCCTGGAGCCCCAGGCCGACCTGGCTCACCAGGAGGTCCTGCGATGGTTCGTGTTGAGACAGACTGGCTTGGAATCTGGTTCAGAATTGAGTTATATCTTGCCATATGACCTGTCAGGAAAAAATGTCCTCATTTTCAAATTGCAGTGGAGAATCTGGTTCAGCTAAGTTTGAACAGAGCACTGGCAGGTCCTGAAGGCTGTGGTCTGTCATGCTTTGATAATATGAAGTTGTGCGTTTGTTGGTGGAGAAACAGTGGTTTAGGGAGTACACAGAAAAAGAGAAGAACTATTGTGTAGAATTTTATCTCCTTGCTTTGACTTTTTTCTTTTTTAGTTTACATCTATAAACATTTAAAATTGTTACAGCAGAAGCTTCTGTGTACTATAATAGATTGGAGACAATTCAGGCTTTTTTTTAGATGCCTGATGCTAATCAGCTCTAATTGGACATAAATCCATTTGAACATAAATCTAGTCAGAACATAAATCCTGACTTTCTAGCTTAAAATGAACAGATCCCCTTGGATGCTCTGAAAAGCATCATATTTGTAAGTAATTGTGGCAGGAAAAGATCCATTCTAGAGATGGAAGCATATGAACTGTCGATGTACTTACCCTGGATGAGTTGTTCACACACTTGCCGAGCAACAGCACGCACCATTGCTTGGGACTGGAGATCACCCTGGATAACAACAGCAGAAGTGTCATAACAATTTTTTGCATCATTTCTGTCTTGAAAACACTTAGAGCAATGAAAGACATTTATTATCCCTGAGAGATTATATCCTCACAGATGAGAAAAAAAGCCAAAAAAGTTTTGGGATTACCCTAGTTCCCATTACTGGTTTTAGCCAGCAAACAGAGGTCAGAGGAGATAACCCTAGTGAGAGATTTGGGGACATACTTAATGCCACATACTTCTCACCTTCAAAACATTACTGTAGCTGTATATAAGACAATGTCTGGAAAAGAAGGAAAGTTTGCCTGATTGCACAGAGAAAACTATTGCGCCTGTAAACACAGAGAAACATAAATTGTCGGAGAAAGCTTTTTATGAGACAGAAGGCCAGACAGGAAAAAACATGGTGGCTAACGTGAGCAGACTTACCCGCTCACCCCTTTCACCCTTAGCTCCAGGAGGACCCTATGAAAAGATTCAATAAAAAATTAATTCTCATTTTGTTCTTGTTCAAAATTTTTAACACCTAAATGCTGTCTCCCTTGCAGCATCACAGAAAAAGGATAAAAACCAAACAAGCAACATGGTTTCAGGAGGCTATGTGACAATAACGAATATACGTTTTCCACTTCAGTACTCAGCAAAATGTTCACCTTTGGCAATTACATGGCGACAATGATTTTCTTGGGGGTTTGTTCTCTTGTTTAAAATGTCAGCAAGGGCAGGCCAGCAGATGATCCATTTCACGTGGCTGAAATGGGTCTAATCGTCACTGAGTATAAGGAAGAGAAGGCTGATGGGAGCCAAAACATCAGTCTGAAATTTGTAGCATTTGCTGCACCGAGACTCTGCATCTGCTAAACAGTCAGCAGTGGGATTAAACTGCACAAAAATTAAGTATGACATTAAAGATCATGTAATACTGTAATGATGGTAAGGATCGTTATGGATTGGAATCTATAAGTTGTCTAGGGCAGTTACAACTTCACCAATGGAGGTTTTTGGGGTAAGCCAGACATGTCTCAGGAACTCCTGAAGTGAGGAAAAGTCTGAATGAAGAGGTAACCAGCTGACTAATGCATGGTTAAAGCACAGCTTATTCTATCCTAGGAAAGAAGAAACTCCTGCAAAGACTGCAAGATTATTTCTAGGCCTCTTTTCTATTACTCTACGTTTTGGGAAAGACAGTTATTGAAACTCAGTAATTTTTTACCCACCTAGCTGTTTTTTCAGAACTACTAGAGTCTAAACATTCACACCAGAGGTCTTACATAACTCAAAGGAGTATCTACACTCTAGGAAATCTAGTTCAATATCTGGAACATGTGTTTGGACAGGAATTGAATAGTCAGGAATTGAATAGTCAGCGTGTTATACATTGATAGTAATAAGTTCCGTAGCTCATCAAATCTCCTTATCAGATTTCATGATTACACTTAGAAACTATGTGGAACTGGGCATTAAGTTATTATCTTTGCTTATGTATTATCAGTCATTTCATTTCCACTTAACCAAATAAAAATGCTTGCATTAGACTAAATCTCCAAAGCAAACTGGATTTGGAAAAAAAAAATTATATTCTATAAATCGAGTCAGAAGTACACATTGTCACATTCTGATGCCTTTAAAAACTAAATAGAACATTCACTGGGAAAAAATTGAGCAGGCTTTATAATTAACCAAGTGGTCAAATGTTAAAATGTGAATATACAATATTGTCTGAACTGTTATAGAGAAAAAGAGGTCCACTGTAAACCTTCTCTTGTACGTAATTTACGCACTCATTTTATAGTTGTATTACTTTCTTATAGTTAAACTGTTTTTTTTATAATAAAGAAAATAATATCTAAGAGAGAAACTTAGTTTTAGAAGTTCAGATTACTTAATTTTGGTATAGAGGGTGTAATTTGCCACTCAATGAAACTGATGGTCAAATTTATAATAACATTCTAGAAAAAGCCCTGATCATTAGTCAGAGTTGCCCTGATGTAAACTCAGAGTAACCATGAAAGCCAGTTTTTTATTCATGCAGTATTTTCACAGTTTGAAAATCAGAACAATATTTTGGAAATATTCAAGTTAATAAATGGCATACTCTGCTTTCCTGAGAGTTTCTTGAAGTGCAAAGGAAAAAAAGGAGTAAGTAATTACACACAGACTACAAATTCACATATTGTTACGTTTTTAACTTCTGTGTTTTAATTTTGTATTTTGACTCTCTAATCTCTATATTCCCAGCATTGTATGTAAGATCAACAAATAAATTTAATTATGAAGAATGAAGAAAGACCAATATGATGTTTTGCTTAGCCACTAACTGCAAACCCATCATAAGCTATAAATATTGAGTAAACCAGTGAAGCCAGGATCAGAAACCAATTAATCCACAACAGCAAATACAGCAATATTAATTAATTTTACTCACAGGAGCTCCAACATCACCTTGTGGCCCCTGGCTTCCAGTAACGCCTGGAACACCCGGAGCACCAGGTATGCCCTACATGGAAAAAGAGAAAGAAAATACTTAGTGGTGATGACAATCAACATCCATGAATCCTGATGGGAGAAATAGCTGTGTAATGGACAGGAAGTTCACAAAGCAGACAGTACACAGACAGTTCTGCAAGTCAAAGACTGGAGATCCTTCAAGCGAGGACCAGGAAGTACTTGTTGCAGGAAAAAGAGCACTGAAAGCACAGCTCTGAGAAAAGCACTCAAGAAAAATGGACTTGTGTTGCTTGCTTTCTGAAACAGGCACATATTGCTG